GATGATGGATTTAGTTGCGAAACTAAAAGACAACTTTGCCAGCCGACTGAATGGCCTTTCACTCCCCAAAGAGGTGATGCGCTTTACCAAAGACCCATTTGCTGCTCTTGCTACAGACAACAATCTCTCCGCCAGCGCAAAGGGAGTGGTCACTTCTATTGAGGAGGGGGCGTTCGTTCTTGAACTTGTGGACAGAAAGTCATCACTGTCGCTGCCTGAAGAGCTGCGCACAAATGGACGATTAAGTTTTGGAGTGACATAAATGTTCACCAGTTCCCAAACCTTAAGAAAGTGGCTGTTACTGTGCTTAGTAATATATTATATAATAACAATAATAATCCACATGAACCCCGCCACTTGGTATCGGTATCGGTGAGTACCTAAACTGAAGTACTCGTACATGTACTCAGTCTTGAAAAAACTTGTATCGGGACACCCCTAGTTTTGAGTAATTTCAGGATTTGTCTGAGAATGGGTCATCTCTTTAAAATAGAATAAACTCAGATTTTTTGTTTTACAGTATTACTTTAGGTTATAAAATCATATTACAAATGTTTCTGTCCATGTTATTAACTTTGTGATATCGAACACAAACAACATCTCAGTTTTACGATCATATTTCTGCACTATAAAAATGCTGCGTGGTCTGATGAAATCTTTGCATGGATTTCTCCAAAGCTAAGGGAGGAATAATGCATTGACTGTTGTGATGGAAATATATAAATAAAAACCCAAGAACGCTTTAATTTTTATGCTTTGGAATTCATAAGTAAGAAAGACTCTGCAGTAATCGAGTCACCAAAAACATATTTTTTTATCAGTGCAGTGCTCACATTCAGGTTTTACACAACATTTGACTTGGATGCAGGAAATAAACAAAATAAAATATACAATCCAAATTTGTGTTTTTTCCTCACCTGTCAGGTACACAGGTCTTCTACCAATCTTGTCTGAGAGAGGCCCAAAAACAACATTCCCGACCAGGAGCCCAGTGAAGAAGAGTGATCCTGCGAGACTGACCTTGTAGGCCTGCTGCTTGATGAGAAACCACTGAAACACAGAAGTCCAGAAGCCTGTTAGCTTTACGTTTCAGCTGCAGACTTCAGGGTCTTTGAAGTCCAAACGACCTGTCAGACCGATGTGAAAATGTAGGTTTGGCTCTCTGACCTCTGTCACTATAGATTCAGCGTTTTCTGTGAAGGTAACATGTTGCTGCAGCTCCTGCTGATTGGACGGTACTCCGTTCTGCTGCTCGATCCGATATGCCGGTGTGTATCCAACCAGCACAATCAGCATGGACTGACAGGCCATATACACCTGAAATACACAGCAAACACAAACATCTGAGGCCATTTTAACCGATTCAATATAACAAAGCATAACAAGAACAATGGGCCTCATGCAAGAACCGTTCGTACGCACAGATTTGTTCTTAAGTTGTGCGTACGAGTGATTTAGGAGAATTTGTGGCATTCACCAATGTTTTCGTATTCTAAGATTTTCTTCAGATACAAACAAAATTCTCGAGCAAGGGCGGAGTGGGTAATCAGGACAATCGGGATG